TAAAATGGCAATCAACAGCCTGTTCCCAGCAGGACCTGAGAAATCAGGTAGCATCCATTCCGGAGAGAGCAGAGCTGGTGATGGTGTTCTGGCAGGGCAGCCACCTTCACTGGCTTCACTGGGCCAGGACCAAGTTCATGGACTGCAAACGCAGGACTCCTGGCCTATGCTGTGCTCCACCATATCACACTCAGCCAGGAATACCTGGATCTTTTCACCAAACCCTTTATTTGGCCAAAATACAATGATGCTGCTGCATCCCATGTGAGTGAGCCATCATGGAAGAACCATCCTCTACCTTTAGTAGAGTCTTCAGATGACTGAAACCCCAGCTGACATTTTGACAACAATCTTATGAGAAAGTTTACATTAGAACCATCCAGCTAAGAGGCTCTCAATTCCTGACCCACAGAAACTACAAGATAATAAATGATTGCTGACCTAAGCAACTGTGTTAAATTATTATTATTATTATTATTGCAATGAACAAGAGACCTAGCCGAAACTGGTATGACTCAGTGGATAGAGGTTCGGCCTGCAGACTGAAAGGTCCCGGGTTCGATTCCAGTCAAGGGCATGTACCTTGGTTGTGGGTACATCCCCAGTGGGGGTGGTGCAAGAGGCAGCTGATCGATGATTCTCTCTCATCGATGTTTCTAACTCTTTATCCCTCTCTCTTCCTCTCTATAAAAAATAAATAAAATATATTTTTAAAAAATCATCAAACCCTAACCCCCTGGTTCATGGGTCTAGCTCAGTCACTGAGACTCACCAGCTGGGCTAGATTTGTTAAAAACAACAACAACAACAACAACAAAAAACCAAGAGACCTAATTGTTTTCATGTCTACCTTCAAACATAAAGAGATCTTGTTTGGAAAAAACACCAGGCTTCTTCTGGTTCCTATTTCATGCCCTTTTCTTTCTCACCAGCAAACTTTGCCAAAATGTAATGAGCACTGGTTAACTCCATTTGATTTATGCTTTTCCCCCTCCCTCAGCTTTATTGAGATATAATTGACAAATAAAATTCTAAGACATTTCAAGTGTACATCATAATGATTTGATATACTGTAATAGGATTCCCCCATCTAGTTAATCCATGATCTCCCTTTTATTTATTTATATTTATTTACTAGATGTCCGGTGCATGAATTTCATGCATGGGTAGGATCCCTAGACCTGGTCGGCGATTGGGGCCTTCCGTGCCGCCTCTTGGTTGTCTGCACACATCATAATGAGCGATCAAACTCCCGGACCCATGGTTGAACTCCCATGGGCACACTTTGCATATTAGCCTTTTTTATCTATAGGTTTATGTGAGAATATTTAAGTTCTACTCTCTTAGCAAATTTCAGTTATACAACACAAAATTATCAACTATAGTCACTGTGCTATCATTTAGATCATTTGAAGTTATTAAATTATATTTGAAAGTTTGTACCCTGTTACCAACCTCTTCCTGTTTCCCCCACCGGTAGCTCCTAGCAACCACCTTTCTACTCTTTTCTACTCTTTGTTTCTATTTTTATTTATTTATTTTTATTTTTTCAGATTCCACATATAAGTGAGACTATACAATATTTGCCTTTTTCTGTCTGACTTATTTCTCTTAACAAAATGCTATCCATATTGTCACAAATGGCAGGATTTTCTTTTTTCTCATGGCCAAATAATATTACATTGTAATATATACATTTCATTGTAATATTCCATATATGACATATAACCACGTCTTCTTGTATATTTATTCATTGATGACTACTTAGATTGTTTCTATATATTGGCTATTGTAAATAATGCTGCAATGGACATGGGAGTGAAGATATGTATTTAATATCCTGTTTTCATTTCCTTTGAATATGTGAACCAGAAGTGAGTTTGCTTGATAATATGTTAGTTCCTTCCCCCCCCCCCCCCCCCCCCCCAGTTTTTGAAAAATCTTCATTCTTTTTTATAGTGGTTGTGCCAATTTACATTCCCACCAACAGTGCACCAAGGGTTCCCTTTTCTGCACATGCTTACCAATGCTTATCATTTTCTGTTTGTTTATAGAGACCATCATCCTCTTAGATGTGAGGAGATATCTCATTTGGTTCTAATTTGCATTTCCCTAATGATTAGTGATGTTAATAATCTTTCATGTTTGTTGACCATCAGGATATCTTCTTTAGAGAAATGTCTATTCAAGTCCTTTGCCCATTTAAAAGCAAAAATTGGTTATTTGCTTTTGTTGTTGAGTTGAGGAATTCTTTATATGTTGTGGATATTAACCTCTTATCATATACAAAGTTTGTGAATATTTTCTCTCATTAGTAGGTTGTGTTTTCACTCTATTCATTGTTTTCTTTCCTGCACAAAAGTTTTTTAAGTTTGATATAATCCCATTTGTCTATTTTTTCCCCTTTTATTACCTGTACCCTTGGTCATACCAGAGAAATCATTGCCAAATCCAGTGTTATGAAGCTTTTCCCCATTGTTTTATTCCAGGAGTTGTAGCTGTATAGTTTCTGGTCTTATGTTTAGGTCTTTAATCCATTTGTAGTTAATTTTTGTGTATGGTGTAAAGTAAGGGTCTTTATAGACCCTTTGTAGTTGTTGATAGTCCTTACCTGAGGATATTTTTTCATTAACTTTTAGGGAAAGTGGAAAGGAGGGAGAGGGGGTAGAGAGAAATATGTATGTGAGAGACACATCAATCAGTTGCATCCTGTACTCACCCCAACCAGGGCTGGGGAATGAACCTGCAACCCAGATACATGCCCTGGACCATGAATCGAACTTGTAACCCTGTGGTGTGAGCTGATGCTCTAATCACTGAGCATCACTGGGCAGGGCTATATAGACCCTGTTAAACAGACTCTTATACACACTTTCATCTCCTTCTTCTCAATTCCCGTTGTCTTCTTCCAAGGAACCAGAGCTTCATTTCCTGAGACTTTCTGGAGAAGTCAGCTGACTTTTTGTTTGCTTCCTTTGGCTCGCACCACACAATACTTCCTTGGTTTCCTACCTGCTTTTCCACCACTAACCCTTCTTTTCCCTCTCACTCATTTACTATAGCTATTTCCCAGAATTCAATTTCTAGTGTGTTTCATTTCTCTGTTTCCCCCCTAGTCCTTTGGGGAGTTATTTATATTTTATAGTTTCAAGTTCATCTTCTCATTATGCTTGCTCTCAAATCTGTATTTCCATACCCATGTCTCTACCAGTAGGCGTTTTCCTTTTGATACCTATATGTTTGATAACCTCAAACTGTATATGTCCAAAACTCAATTTACCATCCCCTCTCCAAAAGATCATCAATATTACCCTTTATCCCCGTCTCTCTCCCTCCCTCTCTCTCTCTTTCTCTCTCTCTCTCTCTCTCTCTCTCTCTCTCTCTCTCTCTCTCTCTCTCTCTCTCATAAATTTACAGTTCAAACTTCTCTTTTTTTCAGTTTCTTTATCTAATTGTAGTTGAGTTCCCTTGCTTCTTTTTTCAAAAGGTTTTTCTTTGTGTTTCTAGCCATGTCATCCTTACATAGGCTCTTGTAATCTTGGCCCTAAAAACTTAACTTGTTTTCCTTTCTCTATTTTCTCTTCATCTACCAACCTATGCCCCTCTATTAGACTAATTTGTTAATGAGTATGTCATTGCCACGCTACTACTTTCATGATGTAAACCTCCTCTTATTGCATTTAGGCTTAACTTCATATTTCTAGACTTAGCAATCAATGTCTTTACTTGATCCCAATACTAGCTGTATTCCTTGTTAGTTCCCAATAGGAAACATAGCCTCCTGTGGAAGATTTCACTCTAATTTCCATTTCCTTCTGTTAGAAAATTGTCCTTCTATTCCTGTTCCGATGGAAATGCTTCCCTCCTTTCAACTTCCATTATCTCTAGGAAGACACTGGTGATGGGGAACCCAGGCCTGGCATTCTGGGGCCTTCCAACGCTTGAGAAGAGAAGCTAGCGAAGTGGAAAGACCCAACTACCCCTGGGACCATGGAAGCCAGAGGCAGGCGAGTGTTCATGAGGAGCACAGGCGGTGGGCCGCAACCAAATAAAACCTCACGGAGGATATGGAGCTGACTGAGTTTGGCAATTAGCAAAACTCAAGCGTGACCTTGGTGAAAACCGATTCTGCTTGTGCAGAACGCAGAAGCCACGTTTCCGTGAGCACACACACGCTCATGAGCATGAAGGACTGAGAAGTGTGAGTAGACTGACCGCCTTGAACACGGATTGTCCACGCGGGGGAAGGAGCCCATGGTGAGGGCGAGCGAGGCTCAGCATTCGGCGTTCCAAGGAGGAGCAGACGTGGGTAGAGGAGGCTCGCCTTTTGCAGTCGGAGCTAAGTCAGGGATGCATCTGTGCATGTGTGGAGGATGAGAAATGCGTATACTTGAGAAGGGAATGGAGTCTGTAAAAAAAAAAATAACAAGACCAGCCGAAACTGGTTTGGCTCACTGGATAGAGCATTGGCCTGCGTACTGAAAAGTCCCAGGTTAGATTCCTGTCAAGGGCATGTACCTTGGTTGCGGGCACATCCCCGGTGGGGGGTGTGCAGGAGGCAGCTGATTGATGTTTCTCTCTCATCCATGTTTCTGTCCATCTCCCTTCTTCTCTGTAAAAAATCAATAAAATATATTTAAAAAAATATAATAAAATAACAAGACCAGCCGCAGCCCATGACACATTCCTGGGAGCGCTTTATGAGCTCATGTATGACCCCCATTTTACAGATTGGGTACGCCGCCGTGTGCAGCATCTGGATCCAAATTCGCCTGCAGAGACCAGCTCCGGCCCGCAGCGGCGGCGGCGGCCGGGCTGCGGGGCGGAGGTCAGCAGTGAGTCACCGGCCCCCGCCCTGGGCTGAGCTGGAACTACACCTCCCAGCGTGCCAGGCGGGGCGGGGCGGGGCTGGGACTACACTTCCCAGCGTGCCATGCGGGGCGGGGCGGGGCGCGGGCGGGGCGCGCCGAGCCTCCTTCCCAGAAGCAAAAGCGGAAACAAAAGAGCCTCGCCGGCGTCCCCGCCCGCACACTCGCGCACCCTCGCGCTCGGGCGCACACGGAACTGGCACGGGCGCCCGGAGCGAGCCAGCCAGCCAGCCAGCCAGCCAGCGATCGGCGATCCAGCCGGGGACCCACCGCGCCGAGCCAGCCCAGGAGCCCGCGAGCCGCGCCCGCCACGACCGACGCCCCCCGAGCCCCGCAGCCGCCCCCCGTCGGCCGGTGTCCCCGTCGTCCTCCCTGACCCATGGCGCTGAAGCGGATTCAGAAAGTGAGTGCTGGGCGCAGGCCCGGGGCAGCGGGGCGGGCGGCGGCCCCTTCTTCCCTCCCGGAGCCGGGCGGGCGGTGGTCTCCGGCGGCGGCGCACCCACCGGGAGCGCGCGGGATGGAGAGGGGGCAGGGGCGGTACCCGCGGCGGGGGATGCGGGCCGGGCCAGCGGGCGCCGGACAGGTGAGGCGGGCGCAGGGGCAGGTCCTGGTCCCGATCCCGGTGGCCGGTGGCCGGAGCAGGATCCCGGGCGCTGGAGGAGGTGCCAGGAGGCAGGGGACCCGCTGTGCTCGCGCCGGACCTGCGCTCTCCGCGTCCCCCGTGGGGAGGCAGATCCTCCTCCGTCCCCAGATCTCCCCGAAATCCGTGCTGCACGGTCACGGCTGGATCTTTGCCCCACACGGGGCTAGTGTGGGCCCTTGTCACCCTGTGCCTCCTCGCTGTGTCTCCAGCCCGTGCTCCTCCTGCTCCTGCTTCTTCCCCGGGCTCCCGGGGCGGGCGGGGAAGGTGCGCGGCGGTGGGCCTGCAGCCTGCTCCCTCGGAGCTGCCTGCCGGGTTTGTTCTCTCTCTCTCTCTCTCTCTCTCTCCTTGGCGGTTGGCTCTCGCTCAGAAACCAGAATGGGCTGGAAAAGCCCATTTGGGGCCGAGCAGCCAGGAGGAGAAGCCTCCTGCTCCTTCTATTTTGGTGCCTCTCCTGCTGCCACTTTAGGTCACATAGCTGTAGTGAAAACAGAGTTGCTGCTGGTACACAAGATGACCTCCTGGCTGTGATTCATGGTGAGGCAAGCCAAACTGGTTTCTTACCAACCCCCCCCCCCCCCCCCCATGATACAACTTATATATAAAGTTCAAGACACAACAGAAACGGGCACACATGAACGTGTTGGATGCTTTGACACATGGGTGCAGAATGAGGAAGAAATGTCCATATTCGTTCAAGAAACATTTATCCACTTCCAGCTCCAGGATTGTCCTCTCGCACAATATTTATTGCCACCGTTTCCAAGGTGAACATCTTGCAAAATTGGGGTCGGGGCATTTTCTTTCTCTTCAGTTTTATTTCTGGTTGAGTTATTGGGCTGTTCCCTAACACAAGTTTTGGGTTTTACAGTTCATAGTTCCCGTTCCTGTGGAGAAGGTTGAGAACTGTTTTTTGTGTTTTTTGTTTTTTTTTTAATTGTGTTCAGCGAGTTAAGCCAACAATGGACAGCATGCTTTGTAAAGTGGGTCAGAAGCAAGTGGTGCCCACTGAAAAAATTTCATCAACTTTTTCAGGCTCGAATCAATAGAGCCTTGAACAGGGATGTGTACATTCTATTTTCAGTCTCCACTGGTGGCATCTTCTGGTACAGAGGACTGCAACGTTCAGACCTAGTCAGTTTCAGTTGCTGTTCAGACCTGTGGATCAGTGTTATTTTTTTGTGCCATTTAAAGATCCTCTTACCATAAAACACAGCTAATAATCAGCATGTATTGACTAATATGTTTTCTGGTTTGTAGATGATGCAGTTACACATTTTCCCCCCATATAATTAATTGTAATTTCGAAGCCCCAGCCGGAATCTTTGCCGTGCCTTCTATACTTATTAATGATGACGTCATATTGGCTGACACTGAAGCAACACACATTTTCCCCCCCCAAAAGTTGTAAAATTCCATTTCCTTTTTTCCTACATATGATAGTTTTTTTCTAAAGACTTTGCACACACAATAGCTTTTAAATAGTATGGATTTTGTCCACAGTAGGAAGACCTTCCAAGAAGAAGGACACTGTTTGTAAATACCATACAGACTAGTTGTTAATCATGCTGAGCCAGTGTGTTTGACTTATATTTAGAATATAGCGTATGCCCAAGCCATATTTGTATAGCTATTGGTTATTATTAGTGACTGATTAAAAAAAATCACTTAGAATTGATGTCAGTCCTGCAAAAATTGATATCTGGAAGAAGAAATTGGGGATCATATAACATCACATCTCTAGGTGTTGTATTTTGACATTCCTTTTCTGTTATCAGAAAACTTGACTTGCACAAATCGCCACCATTTTCTCACACTGTCAGGGGTGTTATTTTGTTTGATTCCCTACTTTCCCTCTTCCTTTACCCCCTCCTTGATAAGCCAGCTCCAGGGCAGGTGTGTTGTTGGCCATTTGTACTGTTATGAAGCCCTCCTTGATATCATCAGTATACATACAGATCTTTGTTTGAGCCTTGCGTGTTCCCACAAAAGAAGATGCATGGTAACATTTAGTGCTTCTTTATAAGAGTTTTAAAGTAACATCTTCAGATACATCCCAGGTCATGGCGTGATTTTATTTTTAATTTAATAAATCTTTATTGTTCAGATTATTACAATTGTTCCTCTTTCTCTCCCTCTCCCCCCCAGCTCCCCTCCACTGGTACCTACCCCACCCTCTGCCCTTACCTCCCCACCCCCTCCACTGTCCTCATCCATAGGTGTACAATTTTTGTCCAGTCTCTTCTCGAACCCCCTACACCCCTTCACCCCTGAGAATTGCCCCTGATTCTATTATATTTACCAGTTTATTCTGTTCATCATATTTTTTAATTCACTTGATATTTATTTATTTATTTATCCACTTGATTTTTAGATTCACTTGTTGGTAGATATGTATTTGTTCATAATTTTTATCTTTTACCTTTTTCTTCTTCCTCTTAAAGAATACCTTTCAGCATTTCATATAATACTGGTTTGGTGGTGGTGAACTCCTTTAGCTTTTTCTTATCTGTGAAGCTCTTTATCTGACCTTCAATTCTAAATGATAGCTTTGCTGGGTAGATTAATCTTGGTTGTAGTTTCTTGCTGTTCATCACTTTTAATATTTCTTGCCACTCCAATCTGGCCTGCGTAGTTTCTGTTGAGAAACCAGCTGACAATCTTCTGGGTACTCCCTTCATAGCATGATTTTTCTGTACATAAAGTGGCAGTCATTGGAGCTGTGCACAACCTCAGAGAACTTTGCAGGGGTGGGTAGAGTGGAAGGGAGTGGAGTGGAGGGCATGGCAGGACAAGGGGCACAGCTTCTAGGGTGGTGTATCATGATCACTTGTGAGACATTTTCAGGCTGTCCCCTCAGTGGAGATAAGTTGCATCCCTCAGATGGGTTGGGGAGAAAGAACATTGAGAACCCGTGATGTGCTAGTCTACCCACATTATTCAAAGGCCTGGAGTGGAGGAGTGCTGTGTCCAAGTTAATCTCTTAAGGAGTGATTTGACATATTTCAAAATGTTAAAATGTTTATGACTTCATAGCTCCTCACAAGCAAATATTAAATATGCTTGAATTAAAATTGCATATCCAGTATCTACAAGGCATGTGGGTATCAATGCTTAAAGTACATTTTTGTACTAGAGTATATGCTAAGTGATTTAATGCTGTAATTGGACTATCTAGTGCCAGTTTTGCATGTCAGCTTATAAATTTACACACCCATGCCCTATTTTTAGATTCAGTGTTATCACAGTCACCTAAATCCCTAAAGGAAAAAAAAGTTCAAAGTCTGAGGAAAGATACCTAGAACATGTCTGAAAAAAGAGGCAGTTTCAGCTGGCCATCTATAATTTTCTGGAATTAATTTCTAAGTGTTTGTTCTATAAATGCTATTTTAAAATCTTGATAATTCTTTTGGAAATCATTTTAAAAATCATTTGCATCACAATACTTAATGTTTTGAAAACCAGAAAAGGGGGGTGGGGGCAAGGAAAGCATAGTACAGACATTATGATCGTCCTAGCATATATTGTAATTGACCCTCGAACAACATGAGCTTGAATTGTGCAGGTCCACTTATATGCGGGATTTCCCCCTCCCCCCCCAATGGTTTTGATCCACAGTTAGGGGTTCGTGGATGTGCAGGGCTGACTGTATGCCATTTTATACAGGAGACTTGAGCATCATTGGATTTTGGTATTGTGGGGGTTCCAGAATCAGTCCCTTGTGGAAACTGAGGGACAGCCTAAGTTTTGGAAAAGTCAAAACTCACGTGTGCATCTGATTTTCAGATGCCCAGGGTTTGGTGCTCCTAACCCTTGCATTGTTCAAGGGTTAATTGTATTTCCTTCTAGATTATTTTTTATTTGCTAAAGAAGTTGAGTTAATGAACAAGATATGATATGATAGACTATTGCCTTTTTGGCCTGTCTTTTGAAAAGTGAAGCAAAAGTTTTGTTCTGCAAATGGAGCATCACATAACTAACTGTTCCTTAATGTACAGTTTTGTCCCCCAAATGAAATATTTGTTTTTTAAAATAATTAATCTAACTTAAAATATGCATAAACATAGGTTATAATACAATTTTATACATGTTTTGAGCTGCTGAATTGTTTTGATTTGTATAATTCCACATTAAACTGTTAATATCAGTGTAGAAAAACCTTAGGATACTTAAAAACAACAACAAACCCAGCTCTCTCTGGATGGAGCTTCAAATAGAAGAAGATCTGGTTTCTATTCCTGGCTCTGTGACTTTACTGGCTTGTTTCCTTGTTCATACAATGATGCTGCTGATAAGTACAATTACACTGTATAATACATAATGGTTACTCTGTGCTAGACACTGTTTCATGTGCTTGACGTATGTTAATTGGTTTAATCCTAAGAGGGTCCAAGAGGTAGAAATGATTATTACCCCCATTTTATAGATGATGAAACTGAGATGTTGAGTAATGCACTCAGAATCGCAGCAATGCTAGGATTCCAAACCAGGCAATTGACTTTATATTCCATGCTCGTAAACATTTCAGTACATAAGTTCTCTTACTCAGACGGACTTATTTCTGTTGTATTTAAATTGAAGGACATACAGAGTCAAATGAGTTTATGGATGTAAGGGCTTTGCAAATTGTTCTATTCAGATGTAAAGTGGTATGATAATTAAGACCATGGCATATTTAATCATTCTCACTGGCTCATCACTCAGTATGTTGATTACACATTGTAAATCTCTGTTCTGACGTAATGTACACTGGATCTTTTCGC